ACACTACTCTGTTAAACACTACAGCAACACTAAGGGTTACGACTCCGTTCACCCGATAGCCTAAGGGAGAGACAGCCTCCCTTCTAGCATACTCTACCCACTCCGGGCTACGCACACTCCGGTCCCTTGCGACGGCCGCTAGGGGAAGGCTTGACCGAACGACCCACCCAGGGTACGGGACTCACCCTGGACCGCTTCAACCCCGGCTTAGCGACTCCGAACACAGCATCTTCGCACTCAGCGACTCCGCACACAGCGTCTTCGCACTCAGCGACTCTACACACAGCAACTTTGCATCTCCACCGCTGCCCTCACCTACGCTCCCTCAGACCCACTCACCCGTCTGTCCCAGGTGGGGGTTCAGCCAACACCCGCCCGGCGACGGCGTGAGAGTTGAGGTCCCGTTGACGGCTGGACCAGCAGCGGCGAGAAGTCTTCACTCTTGGTTCCTGGCAACCACTCGCCCCTCGCTCACACACATTTCCGCTTATATCCCCCTGCTCATCCCGAGTCCTCACGTGCTTCTACTTAAGCTGCTGCCAGGCCAGTTGTCCCGTTAATCTCTCATCACCCCCCATCTACCGTCGCCTAGGCGCCAACCTCCGGTCACAGCGTAGGACCTGTTCAACCTCGGTTGCACCCACTTCTCCCCTTAATTACTGGCGGTTTGTCTGTGCAAACCTCATGTTGCGACGCGCACACCTGTTTGCCCTCCGTTGCACACGCTTAACTGTGCGCACCATGTATTTCTCTCCTCTATACAAGTGTTGCAGCGTATGTGTGAGGCCCACATCTTGTCCTGATCTCCAATTTAGCAGCCACAATAAAGGTCATAGGCTTTCTTAACCATCGTGGTTATACTGTGATTCAAAAGTAACTTCACCATAAACATAGCAGAAGTTATGTAGAAGGGAAACAAAATAATAAAAATATAAAACAATTAAAAATCTCACGACGTTTCGACTGCAACACAAGCAATCATCATCAGGTGTGAAAACTACTGTATGGGTAGCTTTCCTGTAGACAGATGCTTACCTGAAACCGGATTCCCACCACCATCTATCCCAGAAGAATTGCCTCATCAAGATGTGATTCCGGACATACAGTATCCTGGCGTCTACAAACTAAGTTGCCTCTGTGGTAGTAGTTACATTGGAGAAACCAAACGACATGTCTCGGACCGCATTCATGAACACAAAGCAGACCTAAAACACGGTAGGACCAACACCTCGGCCATGGCAGATCACTGTTATAATTCAGTAGGCTCACATGACATTGACTTCTCTAAGACAGAGGTTCTTTGCAAGCCATCTGGCTACCATGAGAGATTCGTTAATGAGGCTATCCACATATACAAACACAGAGACAATTTCAACCGAGAAGATGGATTCTGGCTTAGCAATCATTGGAAGGATTTGATAAACCATTTCGGGTCTTAATTGATTGTTCACGCTTACGGCGGCTTTCAGACCGCATCCATTATTTTCGTCTCCCCCCTCCTCTTTCCGAACATAGATGGACTCGTCCATTGAATAACTGCCAAATCACTCTCCGTGGTGCTAATGTTAAAAAAACCTGCCACTTTTTTCAAATTTTCTTGCTGTGGTTTTCACACCTGATGATGATTGCTTGTGTTGCAGTCGAAACGTCGTGATCATTTTATTGTTTTATATTTTTATTATTTTATTGTTTTCCTTCTACGTGACTTTACCGAAAGAACCAATAATATGAATCCCTGCAGTCACGAAAGCTTTAAATAAAAATTTATAGCAGAAGTTATCTGCTTTGTTCATACAACTACGAGGCATCTCTGCTTACTTTGGCTAAACAGAAATGTGTCCCTTTGCAAAATCAAACACTGACAAATAAGAGAACACGACACTGTACGATTTTTATAGTTGATATAGGGCAATTTATTCAGCAGAAGCATGTAAGCCTAGTCATGATTGCATCATCCATGACTTCAAGGAATAACATGATGCAATTCATATCATGTATGATGCAATACCAGGTCCAGATTGCATCATTCATTGTTTTGCTCAAAAAACAAGTACTGTCTAAATCCAGTCATATATTTATTAATAGATACAGTCAAAGATGCATTTTAGTCATTTCTGGATTAAATTGAGATCCCTTCCCTTCATAACTCACTTATCCTCCGCAATTCCCAAGTGAAGGGTCATATATACCGACCCCGTAACATATTTTGAAAACTAGAGCCAATCAACAATTTTAAGCATAATTTTCATTCTCAGTCACCCAAAATTAATCAAGTTGGACTACATTTTTTTCGGAAGCATTTTGGCTGTAGACCAGTGTCACTATGCTAATTTGACTCCTGAAATGTACACATAAAATCAGTAATTGGCTTTTAAAAGACCTTGTAACTTTACGGACACCACATTATCTTTAGCACGTTTCAGACACCCGTTCAACCTCTGTCGCAAAACAACTCCCTCAATAACCAATTCTAGAATTGTCCCATCGACCTCTACGGTACATCATAGCCGCGGTGTCTACTACACCTGATGTGTGTTAACCCTTTTGGTGACTCGAGTGCACGCACCTGCGCAAAGGCGAACGCTACGCAACAGCTCTCAGTCCACGTGGCACAGCACGTGCGCATCCGCCATCGCTTCCCCTCCAATTCTCGCTTCACTTGAGCAACCCCATTGGGGGGGGGGGGGGGTGGCGGGCAAGGCTGGGCCTCCGGATTGCACATGCATGCAAGAGAGAGGGGGCAAGAGCCTCAAGCCCATGCAAGTGAAATAGGGTGCGGTTCACCAGTGTCATTCACTTCAAGGCCAGCGAGCCATAGGCGGACTCTGGTGGCCTTTAGTGCGGGCCACTAAGTCGTGCGGCACCCCGACAATACACAAAAGGTGAAATCAACCCCCCCTCCCCCATCATCATCGTCGCCGTGCTGCTAACAAACCCCCGAAATGGGTTTCAAATGTGTGGCGGCACTCACACTGATGATGTCTTATCGGGGGGAATGCCCCCCCCCTTCCCCCCTCTAAAAATGAGTGAATAACACTGACATTACTCTCTCTCTCAATCGGCGAGGGTTGCGTTCTTGAACAACGCTCGCGAATGCAGAAACCTTGTTCAACGGGGAATAATGTGGGTTTACGTTCCTGGTATGAGTGAACATCGGGGTAGGTGGGGTGGGGGCGGTAAATGTTTAATAACAATGACTACAATCAATAAATAATATATTATGAAGAACAATGGTCTTTTTTATCTTTGATGATTATGCTGCTGATTTGAGGACGACAATGGAGGTGGTGGTGAGGAATTCAGGAGGATGGCTCCTCAGAAGATGCAATGATAAGAGGAGCGTGCGGGAAGTCCAACAAATACACATTGTACTGCTATCCACCCCGTGATCAGGGCCACTTGTACACCCACAAGACAAAGATCCCCCCTATAGCCTTAACAGACTGTTGGGGCAAGTGATTCTTTGCGAGCACCTATGAAGGCCGGTACGGCACTTGAAGAGGGTGGGTGAACAGCACAACGCCCGGCCGCCTTTGTCTCTCATGCCGCTCCCAATCACGCGTGTGAACAACACACACACACACGGTGAGAACAATACGCACCTCTACAACCCTATACAATACTTCGCTTTTCACACATCGATTCCTATTTGGAGCACCGCCTTGTTTTTTATCTTGTACTCGGGCACCAGATTCAGCTTATTGCTGTGACCTTGCCGTACCAATGATCCTCACATACACACAGTTCAGCTTAACACGTCGGCTTTCGCGACCAATATCATCCATAATAGAGGTTTTTGGGTTAGATCGCGTAAATGTGTCGTTAAAACCCGCCACAGCCAACTAGTAAGGGTTGTCACGTAAACAGAACGTGGCCAATTCGTCACTAGTACAGCACTAGTGTGTAGTGTATAGTGTAGTGTATAGTAGTGTGTAGTGTATAGTGTAGTGTGTAGTAGTGTATAGTGTAGTGTTTAGTGTAGTGTACTAGTACAGTACTAACCGGTGTGTTGGAGAGCCCAGCCACAACATTTACAATCTGAGTACGACGTTTCGCCAGTAATCACAACTAGCTTCATCAGGCGACAGACAGATTTGTGGAGAAGTCTTACTGTTTCGTTCCTTATATAGAGCTTGTAACATGGTGGTCCAGATGTCTTGTGACACCCCCCCCCCTCATTTAATTTTCTGAAACTTAACATTTTTTGTAAAGTAAGGTTTATTTTAAATATAAAGTAATCTGGAAAACTGCTTGCTTGAGCAACCCCCCACTGTTGGCCGTCTTCAAAGGTTGTGCGAGATTCCCCGTTACACGGCAACCTTGTGGAAATCCGTGACACAGATGCCCATTACCATTCACGGTCTGCATGCGTAACGTCGAGTAACGGTTATGCAAAACTCGTTGTTTCGTTTGTGTGTAATCATCTTTCATATGATTCGGAAATAAATCAATTAAAAAAAGCTATCTGTATTTTTGCCCGGCTGGTGCGCTACCAAGTGGTGATGTCACCGCGCATCTGCGTGATGACGTCACCTGCATCCCACTGCGCTGAGCCGGGCTTCGTGCGTGCCAACGGGAAGCCCCTCCCTCCACCCTCGCCCCTCCCTCCACCCTCGCCCCTCCCTCCAACCTCGCACCTCCCTCCACCCTCGCCCCTCCCTCCACCCTCGCCCCTCCCTCCACCCTCGCCCCTCCCTCCACCCTCGCCCCTCCCTCCACCCTCGCACCTCCCTCCACCCTCGCACCTCCCTCCACCCTCGCCCCTCCCTCCACCCCCGCCCCTCCCTCCACCGTCGCCCCTCCCTCCACCCTCGCCCCTCCCTCCACCATCGCCCCTCCCTTCACCTTCGCCCCTTCCTCCACCCTCGCCCCTCCCTTCCACCCTCGCCCCTCCCTCCACCCTCGCCCCTCCCTCCACCCTCGCCCCTCCCTCCACCCTCGCCCCTCCCTCCACTCTGGTCGTGTATCCCGCGCCAATTCCCGAACCAGTGCTGGCTAAAATGAAGTGAGGGTCTTCCCGATCAAAGTAAGTGTCCCGTGATGCAACCTCGAGCCGCTAATGGGAATGATATAACACTCACAAGGCCAGACACAAAACCACTGCCACCTGCCAGTTCAATAACCTTGTTTTCTGAGTTGTCAAAACTGGAGCTAAATTATTGTACCGTGATAAGTCAATCGATGAGTTGGATGAATTTGTCCACGTGCACTCCTCCTTACACTATACATTGATTGCAATCATATTGTAACGAGTCAATTGATATTGTGTTCCTGTTGTCAGTTGATAAGTGGATTCATTCGTCCACGTGCATTCCTACTTACATTATTCACTGATCACGATTGTTCGATTGTACTGCCGAAATGATGGGAATATTGGACACGCTCCACATTAACGATTTCCCGGCTGTGCTCTTCCAGTCCTAAGGATATAAAAGCAGGTTCGTCAGTATGGGGCAGTGAGTAGTGTATCATTGTTGGTCACTGGGCTGGTTATCGCGCCTATTCTTTGTGGTTGCCTGGCGGTGTGTGGAAGCGTCATCATGTTGGAATGTTTAGCGGGTGTGTCTGAAACTCTCCTTTTTCAATCTGGACTGTCTTGTCATTTGCTAGCCGTATACAAAGTGTATCTTTTTTAATAAGGTGCTTTGGTTCCGTTGATTCGCTGGGCGTGGAATATTTTACTCTCCCTATACTTTTTTGTTTACAATGCAAGTGTGTAGATCGCCAATTATGAAATCATCGGCCATTTAATTTATCTTACCTTTTTTTTTATTGTGGACTCAATGGCACCCTGCAATTGCATTATTTTAGGTCCGCTTACGTGGCCCTGTGGGCCTGGTTATTGATTCCTGAAGTAAAAGGGCTTGGTCGAGTTTGTTTACCATGATGTGGACTCGTACATAACCAATGGAAGATCAACAGCCGTACTGGGGTGTAAAGCTGTTGCAGCGTTTGCCCTTGACAAATGCTCTACCCCCCCCCCCCCCCACCTTGCTGTGCTGCAGGACACGTGGAGACTGTGTACAAGCTGGCGGTAGCCACTGGCGATACACCGTTCTCGGGCACGATGAACTTCATTTTTGCAACGATCATTGGCTCGGCAGGCCAGAGCAATAGGCAGCTTCTGGACCACTTTGGACTGGACCTTTGCCCCGGGGCGGTGAGTAGCTTCATTGTGTATCTAATCGGCTTGTGGGAATAAGCACTACACACTACAGCTTGTGCTTTCCTAGCTTCTGACTGACTTGCCTGGCAAATGCCAGATTGCATGCTTAGGATGAGTTGAGCCTGGGTAGTGCTTGGATGGGTGACCACCACGATACAACCGGCTTGTGGAATAGGCTGCAATGATTGGTGGGTAACTGAAGAGCGCATTCGTGCTGAATGTAATCTCGTTCTGCTGTTGAAAGTGCGATGAAACAAGTACATGCATGGGTAATACTCTTTTTTACCGTGGTTTGAATATATGAAGTGTTTCCTTAGGCTGTTTGGTGGGGGTGGGGGGGACGCAATATCTCCCTTTAATACCTGAAACTAACACGGTGTGCATGTTCACTTTTGACAAAAAATAGGTCTGACAACTTGGAGCCTTTTGATGTTATGGTCATTTTTTCCTGCCAGATTGACGTCTACAATATTCCAAGCAAGAATGACATTGGTGACATCCGTCTGGTTCGTCTGGAGATGTTGGTGTGCCTGGTGAATGACTCGTGGTTCTGCCGCTACGTGGAGGTCAAAGCTCCGGGTGGCCGGGTGCCAACCACTGGCTAGAGCAGGGCTCCATGGAGCTATGGGAGGGGTTGGTAAGATGTGGGTGTTGGCAGATCACCATTTTTGGATTGGTCTCTACACGAATGGAGATGGTACAATTCCATTAAATGCTTATGGACTACCAGCATGGTCTAGCATTAAACCAAGGTTCCTTGTTTTAAGGTGACGCCTATCTCTTGCACTATCGCTTTTAACTGATTTCCCACTTCCATCCAGGTTGTGCAATCGGCTAATGTAAGATGACGCTTTAATTTGGATTCCCTCTGATGATACTACTGTCTGCATGTGGAACTACCTCCCTAAACAGTCGGCGAAATCTCTGATTATGTTCAGGCCTTTTCAAATGCTGTGCACATGGCCGTCAAGACCTCCACGTGATCCTTAATTCTGCTGCGCAATAGTTCTTGCCCACAATGTAATTTAAAAGGTAGAATTTGACTTTGCAAGTTGTTGGGTACGTTCAACTCGGTGTTGTGGCTACCAGACGCGTGTTTTGCACTTGCTTTCACCCCTTGCATTGCAGGAATTCTGCCACAGCACGAGACCTTGGCTCAACTAAAGGAAAAGAGGGCTGAGGAATTGTCCGTGAAACCGCACTCCTTGAGGTTTGAGGCACAGGTTATTCATGGTCTCATGCTTTTCCAATTGCATTGCAAATTGCTACTAATACACTGCTAGGCTTGCTTTCATCCTTTGCCAAAAATGACCTAGAAACGACCAAGGGGAGCTGGAATTGTCTACTCTGTTCTGGGTAATTCAGAATGATGTAAAGAGGTGGAACTATGTTTTCCCACCGTTTCTTTTCAATGGTGTGCTCTTAATCTGTTTGACCTTCCTAATTGAGTTTTTTATTACACTCTCGGTTCTGGAATCATGACCGTTTGCCCCTTTATCAGTTGGCCAGCTGCCAATTACAAAAATGGTCAATCTAATTTTGCCACCCATATTGTAGTGACCAGTGTGTACCGAAAACCCTGGCTTTGACACCTAAACTATTGCGACCTGCTTTTGATTTTCTGCAGGTGGCTAGAATGGCAGGCTGGGCTTCCCCTTGGAGTCGACAGCAAATCCTTCCTTGACTTACCCTGCGAAACCCGTTTTGATGATGAGAAAAGTGCCGATTTCAACTTGTCCTTTCTGCAAAGGTAAAGACACCATTTGTTTGCCACACTACTGTTACCATTTTGTTAGACATGTTGCTAGCTTTGAATTATTTTCAAATGTCCCTAATCGGTCTGACTGCACTTTTGTACTTGTCGTTTAGTGTGCAAGATTTGGGTTTGAGGGTGTTCATGAACCTCGATGGCATGTCTTGGACGAAGATAGAAGACTTCCGTCGCTTATTTACAAGGGTCAAGAGTGAAATTGCAGGTGTGCACGATGGGGTCGCTATGGTTTTGAGTGGTCAACTAGGTCTAGGGTTGGCTCCATGCGTACCATCTAAGACAGTGGTTCTTAACCTGGGTTCGATCGAACCCCAGGGGTTCGGTGAGTCGATCTCAGGGGTTCGGCAGAGCCCCCGCCACGGAGGTCCGGACACACTTGAATTATTGTGTAAATTTGTGATGACACACACGGCCCGCTTGGCCATCACTGGCTGCAGATGATCATGCTACACTGCTTGGCCAATCAGCACTGCGGGGAATTTAGTGCGTACTCGGTAGTCAACGTGTGACTGTTGTTGTCGTACGTCGTGTGAGTTCTTTAATATTTTATCCATACTAACTATGTCGGGCAAAAGAAGAAAGTGGTCGGACGAATATGTACAACATGGATTCTCATGTATCACGGAACGTGATGGGAGTGAGCGTCCTATCTGCATGATTTGCAACGCCAAGTTGAGCAACTCTAGTCTTGCACCGGCAAAACTAAAGGAACACTTCTTGAAGCTGCATGGAGACGGGGAATACAACACAACACTTGCTGAATTCAGGGTGAAGAGAGCCAGATTCGATGAAAGGGCCACTCTGCCTGCTCTTGGATTTGTACCTGTTAACAAACCGATCCTGACAGCATCGTACGAAGTTGCTTACCTGATCGCAAAGCAGGGCAAGCCACACACCATTAGTGAAACACTTGTGAAACCAGCTGCATTAAAGATGGCGAATCTGATACTCGGAACAGCGGCCAAAGGTAAATTATCCCAAATTCCCCTTTCAAATGAAACCGTCAGTGACAGAATAGAAGACATGAGTAAAGACATCTTGGCTCAAGTAGTCGCGGATCTGATTTCAAGCCCGGCAAAATTCAGCCTTCAACTCGACGAAACCACAGACGTTTCTGATCTAAGCCAGCTTGCTGTTTTTGTACGCTATGTGAAAGACGACATGATAAAAGAAGAGTTTTTATTTTGTAAGCCTCTTACTACAACAACAACAACAACGAAGGCAGCCGATGTGAAGAAGCTTGTGGATGACTTCTTCAGAGACAACAATCTTTCATGGGATATGGTTTCTGCAGTTTGTACGGACGGAGCTCCAGTCATGCTGGGAAGAAAGTCTGGTTTTGGTGCGCTAGTAAAGGCCGATGCACCACACATCATTGTGACGCATTGTATTCTGCACAGGCATGCGTTGGCAACAAAAACCTTACCTCCAAAAATGGCAGAAGTATTAAAAACTGGTGGAATGTGTGAACTATGTGCGAAAAAGTGCTCTGAGGCACCGCATCTTCAGTGAGCTGTGTAAAGAAATGGGCTCTGAATTTGAGGTACTTCTGCTCCATTCTAATATTCGGTGGTTATCCCGGGGACAGGTGCTGAATCGTGTTTTTGCCATGCGTGTGGAATTAGCCCTGTTTTTGCAAGAGCACCAACACTGCCATGCAGATTGCTTCAAAAATCCTGAGTTCATTCTCATTTTAGCGTACATTGCTGATATATTCGCAGCTCTCAATCATCTCCATCAGCAGATGCAGGGTGGTGGAGTCAATATCATGGAAGCAGAAGAACACCTGAAGGCTTTTCAAAAAAAGCTACTGTTATGGAAACGACGAACAGAGAACAATAACTTCGCAAACTTCCCGCTTCTGGACGACTGTGCAAGTAAGATCGAAGATGTGTCTGGAATCGGAGATATTTCTGTATCCACGGAACTGAAGCAAACAATTGCCACGCACTTAGATGAGCTTGCAAAGTCTCTCGACGGATATTTCCCTACAAGAGAGTCATATCCAGCATGGGTGAGACAGCCGTTCACGTTTGCTGTTGAAACAGCAGATGCCAATGATGAATTCCTCGACGAAATCATTGAAATTCAGCAGAGCCAGGTTCAACAGCAACTCTTCAGAACAACAACGCTCTCAACGTTTTGGTGTCGACAAATGAACAAGTATCCAGTTATTGCTAAGAAAGCCCTGGATTTTTTTTATACCATTTGTTACAACATATCTTTGTGAGCAATCCTTTTCGAGGATGCTGGACATAAAAACGAAGAAAAGGAACAGACTTTGCTGTGAAAATGACATGAGAGTGGCACTTGCCAAGGTGAAGCCACGCATATCTGAACTGATCTCTCAAAGGCAACAGCAGAAGTCACATTGATTTCCAGGTATGTAATTTGTTGTGAGTTTATGCATTGTGTTGGTTTTATTCTTTGAACAAGGTAATGTTCATGCACGGCTCATTTTGTGTACCAGTAAAAAACATATCTATGTCTTGAATTTGAAAAAAATCACATTTTATTTTTCACTAAAGAGGGGTTCGGTGAATGCGCATATGAAACTGGTGGGGTTCGGTACCTCCAACAAGGTTAAGAACCACTGATCTAAGATCTGATCCTGCTGGTTTTTCTTCACCTAACTTGTGGACATTAATGGCTCCACACCATCTGCTGCAGTAGCTTGCCATATTATTTTTGCTAGACTTAATTTTAAGTAAATAGTGTACATGTGCTTCGGGTTGGTGCATGACACCAAATGGTGACCTGCAGTTTTAAATTGTAATCCTGTGTGGCGTCTGTTCTACGTCTTTCCGCGATCTCTCATTGTGCAGAGTATATTTCTCACCACTGGCATCAGGACTGGTTCTTTGGTTACCAATTCATGAATGGCGTCAATCCTGTTCTCGTAAAACGCTGCACCAAGCTGCCTGAGAATGTCCCTGTCACCACAAACATGGTGAAGAGCAGCCTGGTCCGTGAATGCTCCCTTGAAGACGAGATCAAGGTGCTGTAAAGATCTCCCGATACTTTAATTTTTAACTTACCCCTAATAACCTTGTGCAGGCCATAGCTTCATAAGCTCATCACTGCAGTGGTGATGACCTGTGGGATTGTTTTGTATGTGCATGTTCACAGCACGGCAATGTCTACATTGTGGACTACCAGTGCCTTGATGGCATTCCTGGCAATACATTCAAGCATTCCAAGCCCTTCTACCTAGCAGCTCCCATGTGCCTGCTTTATGTCAACAAACAGGGGCAGCTGCTGCCTATTGCTATACAGGCAAGTTGTGCATTTTCGCTCGTGCTAGCATCCTGGCAATGGTATTTTTTGCTATTAACAGGGCCACATCTCCGACTGGTGTACTCCTGCCCCAGATGGCACTAGCTCTCCCCCTTGCCAGTGGGTTGGGTAATTATGGCATTACTGCATTGGCTTGTGGGTATTAGTAAAGACCAAGTTACCCTAATCTCTTCACCCACTGTACAATAAGTCCTGTGAGCTTTGGCTTAACTTTAGCACGTACATGGCCAACTGTACTGCAATCAAAGACAAGGTGATTGTGAAAAACTTTACATCGTTTTTACAAACATAACAGTTTGTCAAGTTGGCAACAGGGTACACTTGTGCAATTAAAGGAACCTATTGACTATTCATTCTAATAACCATGTAGTACATGACATCAGACATAGCAAGCTTTGGTACGAACAACTGTAGCTTTACACAAACAATATTCTGCTGCTCCTACCACCATGCATCCACAGCTGCAGCAAAAGCCATCGGTGGATAATCCCATCTTCTTGCCGAGCGACTCTGCGCACGACTGGATGCTGGCCAAGATGTGGGTTCGTTCCATGGACTTTCAGATCCATGAGATCTCCACGCACTTGCTCAAGACCCACTTGCTGGCAAAGGTGTTCACCATGGCCACCTTGTGGCAGCTGTCTACAATGCATCCTGTCCATAAGGTGAATCCATGGTTTTAATGTTGGCGTTTATCGCATGGGAGACTGCTAGTGACACAGTTATCCACTGCTAGCTTGTATTTTTAAAATGTATGCGGTGCTATTCACCATCCTGGCAGTCCTTGTACTACCTGTCAACCAACAGGGCTTCTTTGTCGGGAGACAGTTATCCACTGCTAGCTTGTATTTTTAAAATGTATGCGGTGCTATTCACCATCCTGGCAGTCCTTGTACTACCTGTCAACCAACAGGGCTTCTTTGTCGGGAGATGTGGTCTCTGGATTCTTAGATCTTGCCCAATACTCTGGTCATTTTTGTGACGGTAAATTTTTACTCTTGTGGGTTGTGTGGAACAATCCTTCCAGAATGTTATAAATACTACTCCTCAAGGTGATTCTAATTTTCTGGTAAACCTTTGCCCAAGTACATAACAAGGTAAGGAAACGTATACATACCACGACTATGAAATTCCTTGTGCACAGGACTTGCCCTCTCCTTTTTAAGCACTTGAGACTGCATACTTAAAGCTACAGTAATTAAATAAATCCTATTACCATCTAATACACATGGTGAGCTGATTTTTCTGACCTGCTTGCGTATAGCTCCTGTATCGGCATCTGCGCTTCACCCTGGAAATCAACGTGCGTGCACGGACGCAGCTTGTGGGCACAGGAGCCTTTGCGGATCAGGTGAGGGTTGTGGTTTTTACGAGCCTTTGAAATGAGTGGCCATTTAATCCACGGCATCAAAGCCTCCGAGGCAGTCTTGTAATCCAACAATCTTACTTCTGCTGCATGAGCTGATTTTGTCATTGCTCATCTCCTGGATATCCTCTCCAATGCATTCCATTGTTTAGCTGCTTAATATTCACAACCCATTTACAGAAACTCAATCGTCCTAATATTTTTTTCCAATGCAGTCTTTGACATTGCTCACACTCTTAACATCCTGGTATAATACCAAGCATGCATCTACCTGTGATTCTGCAAGTTTTTAAATTTCAGGCATACTATACTAGCAAGTACTTTAACCTGCTTTTAATTTCATGTTGTGGTCCTAAATCTTAATTTTTGCTTGTCCTTACAAGGGCTATATCCAATAGTTTTAATAGCGATGATGTAAGCTTTTTTTACCACTTGTCATCTGACAACTTTTCGGCTACCATTTTAAATTGTAGTCGCCCACTTCATGCCCATACAGTGACCATTCCAATGGTTAATCTCTCCCTCCCCTATTGGTCCTCAATACTTCCTCAATGCAATTTTACAAGACTGACCAAACTTTGAAGATTGCCACGTTCTTGGGCTCCTTTAGCATCACCATGCATATCGACACGTCCAAGTACTGCAATGTCTTTCAATGGTAAGGCTTCGAATGACACGATCTTGAAATGTACTTGTGAAGGCGCTGTCAATTGGGTGGTGGCCATTTCAAGCTTGGTGGCAAGGGCTTGAAGGCGCTCGCCTACAGATATCTGTGCATCCTGAAGGATGTGTCAAATCGAGGTGTTGGTGACTTGCCCAGCTGCAACTACTACAGGGATGATGCCTGCAGCATCTGGAAGACCATTCACAAGTAACCAGACATACTATACGCTGGTGCCGCGGTTTTATGTGCACGATGATGAAAGTGCTATCGGCGGGCACATGCAACCAACTTGCAAGAGCAGTTCAGATACCGTTTTTGTGTTAGGCCCAATTTATAAGTTGACACTAAATTTAACTTAATATCCTCCTTTCAAGATGAGATTCTGGTTCTTTCAGAAGTCGCATAGGTAGAAACACTAATAGACCACAACGTTTTGATCACCACAGGCAATCGTCTTCAGGTGGGCAAGAAACAGGCTGCTGAAACAAGTCCTCTATATATATAGGGGGGGGGGGGGTGTTGCTGCATCGGGCAATTGGGTGGGGGCTAGAGATTGGATTTCCCACTCACTTTAGGCACAAAGATGGGAATCGTGATGGAGGTTGGTTGATGCACCTCCCACAACGAAGATCTGAGGAGGTGGCCATTTGTATTGTGAGATGGGAATGTCAATGTGTAGTGACGGTATATCCACCACTAGGGGAATAAAACCTGCAACAGACACACATCAGCCAGTTGGTCTGCTAAAAAAACGAGAGCCACCGCCACATCGATGGAAAGGGAGACACGTTGGTTTTGTTAGTGGGTTGCCTACATGACTTTACCAAAAGAACCAACGAGTGGATTCCTGCAGCCACAAAACCTTCAAATAATGCATTTGAATTGCTGCTTCCTTCCCCAGGGTACATGGATGTATTTCCCACGATTGTTATCCTAAGAATGGTACAAGAGGCTTTTAACACTACCACAATTCCAAAATTCACCTTTTTATTGGACTTAATTTGCGACCAAGGTCGCTTCAGTTCCTGTGGCTTTCATCTTAACAGATGAAAGCACCATTACGTTGTTGTGCAGGTTTGTCGACAAGATACCTGCCATCTTCTACAAAAGTGATGAAGACGTGAAAGGTGACACTGAACTTCAAGCGTTCGTTGACGACATCAACCATGCCTTGCTGAGCAACCCGTCCAATGGTAATTAAGCAGCCCTTCAATTATGTCTTAGCATTGTGTTATTTTATTTTATCAATTTATTATTTTATTCTCATAATACGTGACTTTTACCGAAAGAACCAAAGACGATTAATCATTGCAGTCACGAAAGCTTTAAATCGAAATATGTCTTGGCACTTGCTGGAGGGAAGGTTTTCTGCCATGTCATTGGCATGCCCTTCCATGCTGGCCAGACCACTTTTTTGAGAATGGACATGCATTACTACATCAGGTTGCAACCTGGTTTTATCCAACTGGTGTATCCTGCCATTCTTGGCCACATAATGTTAAAGGTATGCCCATGACTTGCCAGGAACTTGCAGGCATCCTCTATATAGCAAATCCAGTGTGCTAACAAAGCCACCATCATGCCATGCATCCATTTTTTATTTTGGCCCAAGGACCACTGCCACATGCAAAGGTTTCTATGGACCCCAGCCCTGGTGACAAAATAATAAATTATCTAAATGCCAGTAATACACACTGCATTACTGGAACTCTTATACGCTTACATTTTTGAAGGGCTTTTAGATCTTGGAATAATTTACCCTAACATCAACTAAATTTCATGAATATCAATGTCACGCTCTGAACGCTTTCATTTCTGGATTGGTATATAGAACAGATACCCTTAACCAGGCTGAGAATCACTGCTCTAGGCAATGGCAAAACAACTTACAATTTCGCCAAACGAGGGAAAACGGGTTTTGCTGGGTAAAGGTTATAGTTTTAACATGACATCTTTGCTCGATATTCCATTTAACATTCTGTGCCGCAGGCTTTCCTACCAAGTTGACCTGTGTGGCAGAGTTGAGTGAATTCCTCACCATGGTTGTGTTCCTGTGCTCTGCCCAGCATTCTGCCGTCAACTATGGCCAGGTAACGTAAATTCGGATGTTCGTTTTTTGAACGAAAGTTCTTGCAAAGTTGTGTTCGGTTTATTGCTGACTTTGTATAAAAAAAATGCTCTTCCCACCCCTACCGTGTGCTGCAGTTTGACTTCTATGCATGGATCCCAAATGCACCCAGTGCCATGAGGAAACCACCTCCAACCACCAAGGGTGTGGTGGACATGCCTTTCATCCTGCAGACACTGCCTGATGTGCAGGTGACTTGTATTTCCATAGCAATCACCTGGGTGCTTAGCTGCAGTGCTGCAAAGGTAGGTGCTTGCTCCTGCCTTTTCAATGTGGATTAAGGTTACGACGGTCTAAATATAGACTTAAAGCTGTCATGACTGCAGGAATTCCTGTTTGGGTCTTTTTGGTAAATTCGTGTAGATGTGTTGCAATCCAAGCGTTGTAATTTGTGCATACCTAAGTGATCATCATCAAGAAAAGGTGGCTGGCCTCTAAAGGAAGACTCTTTATAAAGATTTCAAATGAATGTAGCTCAAGTGGTCGGCAACCTGGGCAGAGCAGTTGATCTAAATGGTAATCGTGAATGATGCCGGTGCTGGGTTTCCACCAAATAAAGGATTACCAGATCTAAAATTACAACATTACAGCCAGTTTATGGCTTAAAAGATTACGATGACCTTTTAGGTATGCTTGTCCTGAAAGGGCAGCCACTGAACCCCACCTAGTGGCTAACATGCATAACTAATCTTGGAGGTGAGTATACACACTTGCCCCAGTACACCACCTTCTGATGGGCCAACTTGTGCAAGTTATATACTATATAATCCTGTTTTTTTTTTAAGCTGCTGCACTGGAAGGTTAGACTTCAAACCCAGATGTTTAAGTTGAATCCATTCCAGCCATACAACGGTCACCTTTGTAAAGACTGTATCCTTTTTCAAAACCTTGATCCATGATTTAGCAACCTCTTCCTGCTGCATGGAAGTTCTATTGACCTAATTACAAGGGAGTCAAGCAATGTCTTGAATGGTGTCTGTTTTTGTCATGAAATGCGTGCAGAAAACCCTTGGAACTTTCCCAGATGAACCTTTCCAGAACCCAAATGCCTTCAAGGCCATGCAAGAATACCAATCCGACCTCGAGGTGATTACAAAATCCATTGTTGAAAGAAACAAGACCCTTCCCATCAAGTATCCCTACCTGAAGCCTGACAAGGTGGCCAACAGCATCACAATCTAAATGATGGGGGCAAACCTGAGGATTAGATTTTTTTCACTTTCCTGCCTTGTCCTTGTGTGCTGAGGGACCAAATCGCGGTTTTGGTCTATGGAAGCTTTAACATTTAAATTTGCAATGCAATCTTGGATGTTTTCTAGTCTGTGCCCTTCCTTAGGCTTAAATGCACGTAACACTTAATTGAACAGGGTCCTGGAGACCCATACAAGATATCAATGCAAAAATGTGCCACGATGGTTAATTTTAAGATGTTGAAGGAAATCTGGCACTGACATTGATTTTCCGTGGTTTTCACCAAACTGTTGTGCCTTGCACCGTCCACGTTGCAAAAATGAAAAATAAAATCTCAAAATTCTGCAGTATTGTGCATTTGGCTGTTTGCCATGCAGCAGTAGGCTGGTCTGCCATGCCCTCTGCTGCCATCGCCTTGCCTGTGCCTCGATCGTCCTGGCTGTGATTGTCCTCTTGGGCACTGGGAGTAGTCGACGAAAATTGACTAAACCAATAGTTCTCTGGCATGATCTTCTTGCTCCACGCTTTGAAACTAGAAATCCAGGAGACGCCGTTCACACATGGTGGGTTTATTGAATCTGCCACCACGAGTGGACTATCTGAAACGACCAAATATGCCAACTCCACGCCCCATGCCTCTATCAAATCCCTGTGCCACGCAGAGCCAATTCTAAAATCTACAACTACATGCAAAACTGCATTTGTAACTCGTGCTTCCGAGGGGACATTTTAAGCCTTCTGCTTTACCAATTAATAGTATAATGAAACGATTTGAACTTGTCACACCTTGTTCGATCACCATTTCACTCGTCCATTGTTTAAAACAAAACTCCCCTGAGCACACGCTAAAAATGCTAGTAAATATAATGCCTAAAGCAGTAACGTCCTCCCACTTTCCTGCAAAAACCCCACCAGTTTACACTATTCAAAATAAATTGATCTCGTAGCTGAAACGACTCCCCTTCAAGCCCCACACGGCACTCGAATCCCTGCGCATATGGGATTCATTGTATGTTTTGAATTATTTGCACTTGCACCAAAATTAACATTTCTCAAACTCGCAACGAAACTTAATCCCAAACCGTCATTGTAAAGATTTCGGGTTGGGCTGTTACTAAAATAATACTTTACCCCCATCCATTATTTAGATTCTAGTTTATTATGGTTACACGCTGTTTTACGGAGCTTCCTCATTCGGCGTCTCGCCTGTGCCACGCCGACTCTTGCACCAAATCGATTTGTGATCGTGTCCAATCTCTCACATTGGTCATCATCCTGAGCACTGTCAAAAATGTTCAAAAGAAAATGGGGTATTATACTGAAGCATGCAAATATGCACCATTTGACAATTACATAACCACACAGGTTACACCTAGGGTTTGCTTGCCACCTTTAATGCGTCTTTGGCTCCAGATAAGTGCCTAGCCATTCTACATTTCCTTAGCTTAGCAATACTACTGTAGTATAGTACTTGACACCCAGAAGACCTGGGCGGGGGATCAATCACCACCCGGCGACAGTGAGACCTCTACATCTCTAGCCCTGCGGCGGCAGCTGGCATCTCGTCCACACAGGCTCGTACCTCTCGCCAACAGCGACCCTGCCGTCGTTATGGGGTCCCCCTTAAGTACCCCTTGGTGGCTCCTCCCCCTAGCTCGGACCTGCCTTTGTTCCCGAAGGTACCCCCTTAACACCCGTGACATAATTCTCAGCCGTCAACCCACTCACACCTCCCTGTGTACGCCATCCCAGCTGTCAACATCCCCTTATGAACGAAATCTAGACGACCCCTACGACAAACAATAAAAACGTCACAAAACAGCAACACTAACACTAAACCCCCAAGCTAACATCCCTATAGCCACAACATAATTTAATACCCAACAACCCAAAAATGCAAAAAAACCCCAAAGGAATGACCATCTGCGAGGAAAACAATACCGGATGGCCAACGTCAAAAGAGTCCCTCCAAAGTGTCCCGCTGCGCTCAACACACTAATGGCGCCGGCCTGCTCCCCCTCCCCCGCAAGCAGCAAGGTCCCTTGCGCAGTGGTGGAGCACTCTGTAGCGCGTTGGCTCACCCCACAAGCACAAAGCAGGCGGACCCCCAGACTCCAGACGTCGGGAACCATCTCCTTGAACGCGGCTCCTCTCGCTCTCAACAGCCCAGGTCCTTCCCTGCTCTTCTCACTCGAATCGCGGGGAGAAAGTGTTGTATATATAGGTGTTATGAAAATTGATGAAAATAATGAAAATTAAATGAAATTTAAAATGTGCATATTTTATCCGAAATTATGTTAATTAGTGTAATTATGTGCATAAATTATGCTGATTCGAGAGATAATCGTATTAATTTATGCGAGTGGGCGTGGTTAGGATAATGCAGGTCGTTATGGATTATCAGGTCGAGCCTCGGTGACTAGGATTGTGTTATGAATTGGAATGACGCAATTAATCGTATGCAGTGACGCAGGCGTTGTGAGCGTGAATGAGAGAGAGTCGATTCGACTCTGCTCTTTAATTCCGTATTATCGATAAGGATACGATTACTCTCGATTGAACATTGCGAATTATGTGTGGTATGGATTATGTGTGGTGATAGTGTGCTTGTGATAGGTCCCCAGGATTCAGATCTCATACGCAGAACAATATTATGCAGAATTTCAGGAAGAATCACACACAAACCTTCTGCTTTAATCAATTTTATTTCTAGCTAACTTTAATTTTTGGATAATATGAAAACTCAATCTCGGGATTTTGGAATTTCAACACAGCGTGAACATTATACCATCACGATTACGTTGTTTCACCTCGATAGCGGCACCTGTGGTTAATTCCCGACGCGTAACGCAATCGATCGGTTGTTGAGAGAAAGATTAAAAACATGCGAACTATTCTATCAAAACCTTAACCTTATAATATGCAAACTCGTATTCTTGAATGATTACACAACACGGCACTCGGTCTTTGATTCGTATCCAATCCTTAACACATTCTGATATGCGGAATTATTATGCTTGAAATCGTCAGCACAGTACCACGGCGATGTTCGTTCATTGATTCATCAACGATTATGCAATTAAAGCGTTCGACTGAAATAATTCTGATTGCCTCATCAACGTAACTCAATGGGTGGCGATGTTTTTCGTTATCAGCTAATAGTTGACGCAGTTATCATGAGTCTTGTATGTTTAATGGGAGGGTTGTTGATTTCTTGCGTTGAGCAAACGCCTAGGTTGATTTCCTTGTCAAAAAAAATGTTTGTTCGTTGTGTAGCGGTGGGGGAGTGAGGAGGGGGGAGAGTGTGGGGGGGCATACGAACGACTGCCAGTTTCTGTCCACCGCTGGCTGGATGAGTCAGCACGACGCTCGCCGTCGTCGCGCCGATGGGTGTTGAGTGCAGGACCGCTGACTTTAGCTTATTCTTGTTATTGCATTTTAAATTTGAACTGTTGTTTTAAAAAAAATAGTTTAACCCGTGGGCGTCCTCATTTCTGGCTTGCGGAGGGCTTCCCTCTGCGTGACCTCCCTTAGGGCACATCAAACTCTTGTTCATCTGGAGATCTTTGCAGATAGCTGCTAACATCCTCGCCTCGAGAGTTTTATTATTTCTTTATTTATTAATGGCCTGTTTATGACCGACACCTGGTTTTGCGTGTGCCTGGCTTACGGGTTTTATTAATTATTATTTTTTTTCGTTTGTAATAAAAAAAAAAATGATATATATAACGGCAAATATTATTGTTAATATCAATTTTGGAAAAGGCTCATATACAACACACCGCCCTTTTAAAAATGATCGGTGGTCTGCCACGGATTATTTTTAAAAATAAAAGAAAAATGCCTTTTCCATCTCGAACCATCGACATTCCTCGAGTTGACTGATTTTTCCTCACAACGCGCGCGTACGTGTCACAGCATGATTACATCTGAAATAAGAAAATAAAAGAA